GGGAGATTCCTTGACAAGTGGAATGAGGGAAACTGACACAAAATATTAGACAAGGCCAAAGGATTTGAGCGATTTCCAGCCAGCTAATGAATCACAAGGTTTTATCTTCTCTAACCAAGGACACTTAGGAGAAAATGCTTTACACATTCCAGACCATCCTAGCGCAGAGTGGCCTCAGTCCCTCTCCCCTTTCATTGATGTTCTTGATGACTGTTAGGTCTGATCAAATAACAGAATCGATACCCCCACCCCTGGGAAATGACCTTTAGACCACTTCACAACCGACATTCTCTTTAACTTACATCACATTCCATTTGCTAAGACCAGTAGTATCCTTTCCCTCTGGACTTGGCTAGGATTCAGACCCGCCCAGAGAATTCCCCACTGAAAAAGCCCATCTAGAGTCCTTTAAAAATCTATGACTCTCACCGAAACCGGTTTGGCTCAGTGGTAGAGCGTCGGTCTGCGGACTGAAAGGTCCCAGGTTCGATTCTGGTCAAGGGCATGTTGCGGGCACCTCTCCGGTAGGGGGTGTGCAGGAGGCAGCTGGTTGATGTTTCTCTCTCATCGATGTTTCTAGCTCTCTATCCTTCTCTCCTCCTCTCTGTAAAAAAATCAATGAAAAATATATTTTTTTTAAAAAATCTATGACTCTCTGTCCCTGGGTGCTGGTACCATTTTTGAGGCTCAGCCCATCTGGTTTACAGATGACCTAAACAATTCATAGTTCTTTACCTGTTTTGGCCTCCTGTGTTCCTCCTTTGGCGACCCTAACATTTGGTGCTGAAACCCAGGAGGATTCCACAGGTCATCCCAAGTTTGCTACTCAGAGACCAGTAGCCGGCAGCTTGCCTTGGGCTTACCTCTGAGTCCTATGCTGCTGGAGGGACTCCGCTCACTCCACAGATGCCTTCCAAACAGCAGTGCACCCCGTCTCCAGGTGCGGCTGGCTAAGGAGGGCCTGAGAGAGGTTGGCTCCAGGGCACATCTGGCCTATCTCACCCAGTCCCGCCCCAATGGTCACCTTCTAATTAATTTCCTTTCCATGTGCATGAATCTGTGCACCAGGCCACTAGTTATAAAAAATAAAGTTCTACAGGCTCAGTGATAAGGAGCCATGGGTCATACTGTTGAACTTCAGAGGGAGGGTGGGGATAAAAGGGAGAGATCAACCAAAGGACTTATGTGCACACATATGAGCCTAGCCAGTGGTCAAGGACAATAAGGGGGGTGGGGGCATGAGTGGGAGTGGTGTGGGGAATTGGTATTGGGGGGGGGTTTGAGGACAAATATGTGATACCTTAATCAATAAAGAAATTAATAAAAATAATAATAATGTTCTAGAAATTTCCATCTGTTCTAGAAAGGAACTTGCAAAGATTCAGAGCCGAGTTCAAACAGGAAATTCTCAGGAGTAACGGTGACACTGGGCAAGCCTAGAGTAATTCTCCCTATGGAAGGCATCTGGCAGTAGTATTCCAGATGTTTGTGATCCACACATTGGGGTGTTTATGAATTGCTTCCAGTGCTCAATGCACACTTCAACGAGCCATGTGTGATGTTTTTAAAATTGTTTGCTCTTTATTTTTAAAAATTCTAAATGGAATCTAAGACCAAACTAAGCCCAAAATTTATTTAGTTTTCTTAAATAGTTGGCTACAGCCCCCCAAAAACTAATGTCCCTTTCCTTCCATCAGATCATTTGTCATAATTATTATTGTTCTAGCTTTGGCACCAATAATACTAACATTTATAAAACAGATGGTCTTCACCAGATTACAGGTCCTACTTGTCCTAGGAAATATCACCTCTACACACCATCACAACCTCCTTTTGTGCCTGGGACTCATTGTCCCTCTGACAGACAGCAAGGATTTTTGGCTCTGAAGGAAAACATCGCCCCCTTTTAGCAGGAAGCCGTTATGGAAGAGACCCTGTGCACTGCCACCACCCCTCCTCGCCCCCCTTTTCCCCTGAGAGAATTCAGTGCCGAAAATCCTTGAGGAAGAAAATGTGAGACAGACCCCCAGAATTTAAACCCCCAGAGCAAGGATGGATGATGGGCCAGGTACAGAAACTCATCAGGGAAGAAAGCTCTGGATGTCTAGCAAGGGGCAAAACTAGGAAAACAAGAAACTTACCTCCAGGGTAACTTACCTTTCCCTTCCATATTACTAATCAGGCAGTTTAGACACCCTGACTAACATCCCTAGATGTTATCTTTTCTTCCCTGAAAATGACACCGAGGCCTCAGTTGTATTTCAGCTCCAGGCCCAGAAAAGCAGCAAAACCAGACAAGTGACACTGTGGCTGCCTCAGGACCACCTTTTACCTCCCAAGTCACTCTTTAGGACTGCTTTCCGGTCTTCACCAACCAGTCTCTCAGGAAAACCATGCTGCTTCAACCCCCCACTTCACTCATGAGGAATCTATACAGTGTTCTAGCCGACTATAGTCAAAGTCCATCCCCCTATGATCTTGATGTCCCCTCAGCAGGAAGCAACAATGAAGGGGATGATCTCCATCCTTATTCCATAAAACAGAAAGGCTGAAATGTTAGATCTAGTTAAATAATTGAATCAATACTTCCTCCCCTGGGACCTGACCTTTAAGACCACACTCCATTTGCAAAAAGACTATTATCTTTCACCTTCAGGCTTTCCCAGAATCTGGACCTGTCCAGAGAATTCCCCACTGAAAAAGGCCACCAAGAGTTCTTTAAAATCTCTGACTTCCGATCCCTGGGTGTTGGTGCCATTTGGGGGGTCAGCCCATCTGTTTTACAGATTACCTAATCTATTGATATAATAATAAAAGCGTAATATGCTAATTAGACTAGACAGCTGAACGAATGTCCTTTCGGATGACCTTCTGGATGAAGCTGGGCTGTGAGGGCCATGGCAAGCCACCGCAGTTGTGTTGGACAAGTCCCTTGCACAAATGTTGTGTATTGGGCCTCTAGTAAATTTCTAACTCTTTACCTCTTTGACCTTGTGCATTCCTCCTTCAGTGACCTTAACAACAATGTTCTTCAAAAATGAAACTAACCAGAAAATAACCCCTGACCCCTTCTCTATGCACATTTTGCTGAATCAACATATTGAAGGGCACACCTGAAAAAAACGAATGAATATTCTGTTGAGACCTTCCCCTGAGACCTCCCCTAGGAGTCCAGCCTGCCAAGAGAGATAAAAATCCTCAAGGCAAAAGACCCAGCTCACATGCTCTTGTTGAGCACACTCACCCCTGGTTATCTCTGCTGTTTTCCTCCTAAATTATAAGGGACCCCAGGAAACATGCAACCAGGGGAGCAGTGGGCAGTGGCAGCTCATCCTGGGCTCTCCCCCCGAAACTGTCTCCAAGACCCCTTTGTCCTCTAATGTCTTCTCTCCTGTTGCTTCTTCTACCTTAAGTCCTATCTGTATTTCACTGTGCCCAGCTTTAATAAACTTACTCTCAAAAGCACCTAGACCTGCGTTGTGAAATTTTTCCTATACAGAGTCAAGAACCCACACACTACCCGTTGGCCCAAGGTAGCTTGGCTCTGGGCCCAGATCCCGTCCTGTAACACTCTCCTATAACTTGTTCTTCAAGAAACGGAAAGAATAACCCCAAAGGCAATCCAGAGGTGATCGGGGCTGCCCCATTGATGTCAAAGTTAGAATCACTTCCTTGGTTTCAACAGGGCAGAGGGTCCCCACAGGGAGATGAAGGTACTGTGTTACCCAACTGAGCCATGGAGGTGACGCTGCCACCCCATGTTCTAGAGGGCAAAACATCTCATCTGACCACTATGCTGAAACTAATACAATATAATGCTGAATGTGAACTGTAACTGAAAAATAAAATTTGTAAAAATTGAACCCAAAATAGACAAAAATGATTTAACAAAGGGTTGCTTTGCTGGATGTTGAATGTGCTTGGAATCCGTCATGCTTGTCTTTCCAATGTTTCCCTTTTGGAATAGAGAACATCTCTCCTACATCTGCGGCAGCGGTGCATTTTTTGGAACTTGTTGGTCACAGGTTTGTGACTGCAGAGAGATTCTTCCTTAAAAGGAGTCCTATCCTAAGTCTCACCTACGCCTGACATAGACAATAGATAGATGAGACTTTGATAGTTGATGCTGGAATGAGTGGAGCTTTGGATCATTGTAGAACTGGAATGAATATATTTTGCATGGAAGAAGGATACAAAATTGAGGGGGTGGGGACCTCCGAATGTTGTGGACTGAATGTTGATGTCCTCCCCTCTCAAAATTCATGGGAAAGCCCTTAATCCCCCCTGTGGCTGTATGTGGAGATAAGGCTTATGAGAAAGTAATTAGGGTTCAATGAGATCTTAAGGGTGGGACCCTGATCAGATATGCTAGTGTCTTTAAAAGAAGATACACACCAATGATATTTCAGTTCTTGATTCTTATAAGTATATTTCCAGTAGGACATGGTCTCACTCATCTAGGGGAAATGGTGAACAACATAGACTGATGAACAAGAGATAAGGAGCCATGGGTCAGACTGTTGGACCTCAAAGGGAGGGTGGGGATAAAAGGGAGAGATGAACCAAAAAACTTATGTGCATACATATGAGCCTAACCAGTGGTCAAGAACAATAAGGGAGGGTGGGGGCATGAGTGGGGGTGGCGTAGGGGATTGGAATGGGGGGTTGAGGACAATTATGTGATACCTTAATCAATAAAGAATTTTTAAAAAAAGAAGAAGAAGATACACACCAGGGCTCGCTTTTTCTCCCTCTCCCCTTCACACACACACACCAAGGAAAGACCATGTAAGCAGAAGCAAGAAGGCAGCCATTCATACCCAAGGAGAGAAGCCATAGAGGATACCAACCCTCCTTGCACCTTGATCTCAGACTTTCAACCTCCAGAACAATGGGAGAATGGATTTCCATTGTTTTCTGCTCTGCCCAGACTATGGTCCTTTGCTATGGCAGCCCGGGAAAGATGAACACAATTATTTTTTTTCTCTTTTTTTATTTTATTTTATTCTTTTCCATATAAATATATGTTCTTATAATTTTTATATCCTTTCATCCACTGTGGTGGGATGCATTTGTTGTTGACTTCTTTAAATGCTCACCCTAGTGGCTAAATGTCAGGCCTTCTTCTCTTTCTAGTAACTCCATTTAGGCACTTAATTTTCCCAGTTGATGTGTAACATGTGCATTACCTTTCAAGGAAGAATATGAGTCACAGTGTCCTTTACATAAAAAAAAAAAAAAGTTTTATCTTCATTTGTTATTTTCTTCTCTCAAACCCTGGTTATGTAGACGTGTATTGCTCTGTTTCTAAAGATATAGGTCTCCTCTTTATCTTCTTCTGCAGAATTAGGTGCCGTCGAAGGTCTCATGACATCCTGCTTGCTTATCTAATGTTCTCAGGCTCCATTCAGCAGCTGAGTGTCCATGGGGGCAGCGCCCATGCCTTCTGGGGTCCCTGCATTTCCTCTCTCTGGAGTGTGAGGTCTGAGTCCCTCCTGGGCTAGTGGAAGGACAGAGAAGCATACACACTGGGCTCCACTTGGGGCTGGTCTGACGGGGAGGAAGGGACTGCTGTTGTCTCTCCTTTGAGGGTCAAGTGACTCAGCTGGGCATAGGTCACATTTTGGGCATCCTCAGACGGAGTATCCTGGAGGGGATAGAATGAGAGGCAGGTGAGTCATTGGGGGTGGGGGGAGAGAGAAGCCAGGGCACTGGGAGCAGAAAGGACCCACATGACTAGCCCATCTGCCTGTCCTCTCCCATGTGTCTGTCCTCTATGTTCAGCATTTCCTCTGACAAGACAGAAGGCAGAGTGGCCACCCCCTACCTGAGCCTGGAGTGGCTCCCCTGGGGGTATTAACAAGTCTTTGCTGGGTGTCCTGGGTGTCCTGGACAGGCCAGGGATCTTACCTGACTGTTCATCTTTTTGTCCTCCTCAGATTGGGATTCTCTTCGGGAAGCATCTAAAGAATGAAAAGATCCAATCTCATGCAAAATTCCTGAAATTCCCAATCTGCACACACTCCTTGTCAGTTAGGTGGGCAGACTGAGGTTCGTTGAGGGGCAGGGATGTGCCTGGGGTCACACATATTTGGAACTTTCATGCTTCCTCACCCTCTAAGCCCAGAAGCCTTCCCAAGCACTCAGCCTGCCCCTATGTCCCACCAAGACCTCACCTCCTCCACTATTACACCGGTTCTGCTCCTGGTCATCAGCCATGGAGCTGGAGCTGAGGAAGGAGGACAGGTGCATAAGACATGTTGAAGGAGCTACAGGTGGAGGTTGGAGGGGTTGGGGAAGAAATTACCTTTTCTGCAGTGCTCTGGTCTTCGCCTCAAGGTTTAAAGCACCTGTACAGAGTTGGAAATTAGCTTCCAAACTAGCCCAGAACCCGGCCCCCTGGGGCTCCATTAAGATCTCAGAGGCTGTGACCCCCCACCTTGGTCCATTTGGGATTCAAGGTAAATAAAGTTAAAAGGTAGCACCCCAAACTAGCATGGCTGATTTAAATAAATTTCCATGAACCTGAAAGAACATGTTTACAGTCTAAGTCTGTCCTTATTACATCTCTGCTCTCTCGTAGAGGATGGTATTTAGAAGTTAAGACCTGGATGATGATAGGTGTGCTTACTCCTAGCCTGCACCCTCTCCAATCTGGGACCTCCCTCTCACAATCCAGGACTGCTGGCTCCCAACCACTCACCTGCCTGCCTGCCTGATTGCCCCTAACTGCTTCTGCCTGCCAGCCTGATCACCCCCTAATCACTCCTCTGCCAGCCTGATCAATGCCTAGCTGCTCCCCTGCCAGCCCAATTTCCCTAAATGCCCTCCCCTTCCGGCCTGGTCACCCTTAACTGACCTCTCCTGTGATCCTGGTCACCCCTAACTGTCCTCCCCTGCTGGCCTTGTCACCTCTAACTGCCCTCCCTTGCCAGCCTGGTTGCCCCTAACTGCCTTCCCCTGCTGGCCATGATGTGGCAGCCACCTTGTGTCCACATGGGGGCAGCCATATTTGAAGACATGGGGGCAGCCATCTTGTGTGTTGGAGTGATGATCAATTTGCATATTACTCTTTTATTAGATAGGATATTAGATAGGACATATAATTTGTAATTAGGTCATACTGCAACAGAATGAAAAGCATATAATCTTTATGCAATATTGTACTTTCCAGAACCACTGTACTAACCAGTAAACAAACAAGCCTGTTGGAACAGAAACAGGAACAACTTCCCCCCCCCCCCCCCCCTAACAACCACTATTTTATCTTCTATATTAGGACATTGCATCAGTTCCAGTTCCTGTTGAGAAAGGAGCAGACCAACCAATACCGAAAGAGTCAGCATGCTGCTTCCAAGATCTTTGTCAGAACTAGCGAGAACACGGCCTACATGTCCCCACTTGCCTTCCCTCTTCTTTAAAAAGTCACCAACTAGACCAGAGTCGTTAAGATGGTTGTTTTTAGGGCAGGAGTCCACCTCCTTCTCGGATCCTCTGCACATGAATAAAATATCTAACCTTTTCACCAGCACCTGTCTGCCTGCCTCAGCCTCTGTCACAGCAGGCAACCAAACTTGCATTCGGTAACGATACTGACATCTTCCATTCCAATGGAATGCCTTAGTTTTTGTTTGTTTGTTTTTCTAGCCATCAGTTCTGCACATTTTTAAATTCTTCACAGGCATTTCACCCCATATATTTACGTATTTTCTCAAAGCAATGGAACTCCCAACCACTTCCATTCCATCCCCATTCCTCACCACCACGCCCACGCCCCACTGCTCTCCACGGCAGGCTGGCAACGGCACCTTCTCATGGCTCCCCCATCACCAGCACGGTCCCTCAGGTTCTGGGTGCACCCCTGCTACCTCCAAGGCAGGACCCCTCCTGTCACAACTGAACTTACATTGGGAATCCTCTCAGGTAGGCAAAGACTCCCCATCTTCTACTCACCTGACTTGCTGCATTTGTTCCGATGCTTGAGGAGGAAGAAGAGGAGGAGGAGGAGGAAGAGCAGTAGGATGAAGGTCACTGAGACCCCGATCAGAACCTCATGGTAACTTTGAAGACCTTGGGCACAATGATGGCGTGAATGAGCCAATGATGCCACGTAATTGAGCACCTACTGTGTGTGAGGCATGTGTAGGGGGTCTGAGAGTGAATCGCTCTGACCCTCATAGCAATCAAGCAACAGGTGGATGCCAATCCCACCTCCATTCATTCCACAAATGAGGAAACTGAGGATCAGAGAGATAAATCAGATGCACCAGGACACCCAGCCTGGATAATGGCAGAGCTGGGATTTGAACCCAGGACTGTGGGTTCCCTTTTGTTCTGCTCATGTTACCTCCCACACACACACACACACACACACACACACACACACACACCCAGACAGACCCCAGCTTTGGGCTCTGGGGGCTGCTTCTCTGATTGGAATGGCCTGCCGCTTGGTCCCCACATGCGCCAGCCCTCTGACTTGAATGCATCTCTCTATTCATTCCCATTTGCTAGCCCATCTGAGGCTATGGGACTGTGTGGGATGGAGTCTGATCTTCCCAGTCCCCACGTCCAGCTAGGATCTGTCCTTTATCCTGCAGACCCCGCACTCCCACGCAGAACCTGCCTGACCTTTTCCAAGCATGGATGTGGGAGGGGACATGAGGATGGATCTGCCTTGTCTTGGGCACTGGGTGGGCTGAGAGCTTCTACTTCTGGGGTCTCACCTAAATGCCGGGAATCAATTCCAGCATAATAATTATAAGAGTTCCGTCAAAAGGTTGATGGGACTTGGGGAGCTCAACAAGGGTGAGCCACATACTTAGTTTACCTGTTGGAAACGGCTAAACAGGCACTTCCCCCAAACCTGAATAGGATTATTGTTAGCTGCCAGACAGCTCAGGGCATTTTATTGCCTCCTGTTGTCAATGAAGGAGTATCCTGGCCAGCTGTAGGCTGAACAGCTGTAGGCTATCTCCCAAATTGACAATGTTTCTTTGATTCTGTACCCTTTGAAGTGCATATTTCCACCTTGCCTTGGGATAAATAAATCATGTTGAATAAAAGTAGGGGTCCTTGGTCAAGGGAGAGTCTGCAGTTCCTTTTAGCTGAAGCTCCACTGACCCCCAATGCCTTTCAAAAATATCTTTCGTCCTTGGACTCTTTAATCATCCAGGCCCAGCCCCTTTCTCCAGAATGCTGAACCCTTTGTAAGGCTGGGAAAGGAACCCCGGCATTATGGTGCCCTAACGAGGGACACCAACACCTAAATCTCTTAGCAAACCTGCATGGGAGATGGTAGGAGACACAGCTCACAGAGAGTGAAACTGGGCCTTGGCTGAGCTCCCCCAGACGGGGAGGAGCAGAGCTGGGATCTACATTTCATAGAGCCCAGTCTCCAAGCCCTGGTCCATGTGTTAACGAGTTTGATGTCTTTCCTTCAATATCACAGGCTACACACTGCAGGCTGGTAGGAGAGCCCTCAGAATGGCACCCCTATCATTGCCCTGTTGGTCCCTAACACCCCAAACACCCTACATTGCCCGTCCTGCCCTTCTGCAGACAAGGGCCACGCCTGCAGGTCAGAGCTGAGAGGTCCTTTGAGGTCTGAGCCAGGGTTCTCCTCTGTCTCCTGGGGAGACACAGACTCAGAGGGAAAGGGACTCTTTGAAAATTGCCATCCTGACCATTTCATCCACAGGCCAATGCTCATTCTACTGAGCTAAACCAGCGAGGGCCATACCCACCTTCCTGTCGGTGTCTCCTCCCAGCCACCCGAGATACTTTCTGTAGAGTGTGTGCAACTTGTGCCTGCATGTCTATTAGTGTGTGTGTGTGTTGTTGTTTTTTTAATTCTCAGCTGAGGATATTTTCCCAATGATTTTTAGAGAGAGTGGAAGAGAAAGAGCAACACAGAAACATCGATGTGTTGATTGATTGCCTGTGCTTGTGCCCCGACCAGGGCCCGGGCCAGGTAGGAGCCTGCAGCTGAGGTAAAATTGAACTCAAGATCCTTCCGTATGCAGGCTGAGACTCTTATCCACGGAGTCAACCCAACTAAGGGTGAGCATGTCTTTTTAAAAAGACAGAAAAAGGTTGAAACCTGTTTGGCTCAGTGGATAGAGCGTCGGCCTGCAGACTGAAGGATCCCAGGTTCGATTCCAGTCAAGGGCATGTACCTTGGTTGTGGGCACGTCCCCAGTAGGGGGTGTGCAGGAGGCAGCTGATCAATCTTTCTCTCTCATCGATGTCTCTAGCTCTCTATCTCTCACCCTTTCTCTCTGTAAAAAAATCAATAAAATATATTTTTAAATAAATAAATAAATAAATAAATAAATAAATAAATAAATAGAAAAAGGAAAGGTCCTAAAATTAAATAGTGGTGATTATTAGATTGTACAACTCTGAATGCAATAAAAACCATTGAATTTCACATTTTGAAAAATAATGATTTTAAAAAAAATCATCATCCTAGGGACACTAAGACCCCCACCACCAATAGTGGATGCCACCTATTTGTGCATCATAAGCCTCGTTGAAACCCAGCCCCTGCTCCCCTAATCTGGGCCTCACATTTCCCTCTGCTTTGACTGCCCCACCAGCCTCAGTCCCCAGAAAACAAGCTCATCCCTGTGTATGTGCTGGGCTGCTACATCCTCTGAGAGGCCTCAGAGCTGCCTGGGTTGGTCTGGGCTCCCCCAGAGCAAAGAGTCCCCAGTGACTCACCATCCGTGGAGGTGAGCTTTGGGTGTTGGGTGCTGGGGTCCACAGAGGGGCCTGGGAAAAAAGAGAAGGAGGAAGGGTAGAGTGCCCCCACAACCGGCCAGAGATGCTGTATTTGTTAACATTTGTCTCCTCATCTTTCCTGTGGTCCTGGCAATTCCTCCCTTCTAGCTCCTGGGTCCCCTGGAGAATCTGGTGATGGGTATGAGGAAGGGGCAGGGGCAGAAGGCCCACTGTGCTCTGTCCATCCCTTTGAGGAGTGGATTGCCCTGTGGATGACCCTCCCTGAAGCCCTCATTGTGGTCCTACATAGGGGACCTCCTGGGAAGGATCCTTAACCAAACATACAAACAAGGAGGGACAGGACTGGGCTCCTCACCTGAGACCTGGAGCTCCAGGGGGTCACTGGGGTGTGACCACACCTGGGGACTGTTCCTGTAATAGCCATAGCATCTGAATGTCCACCGGTGGCTGGCGGTCACAGGGCCCACAGGGAACAGGGCCTGGAACTGCCCACTGGGCTGTCGCTTTGAGTCCAGGGTCCAGGATAACTTGTGATCTCCTTCCTTAATCAGAATGAACATGCCAAACCCATCCACTGAACCACACTGGAGGGTCACGCTCCCTCCTGAGGGCACGACAGGGCTGGGCAGGGCTGAGAGGCTCGGTTTGCTGTAGGATTCTAGGAGAGGAGGAGGCAGCATGTCAAATGGGCTCACACCTCCCTCATGTCCCCCAGGGCTGGGCTGTGAGAGGGAGACACCCTGCGAGCAGACCCTCTTCTTGAGGGCAGAGCCTGAGGATGGGACCCCTGAGTGTCCTCTTACCTGTCACCACCAAATCCAAGAGGTCACTGGGCTCTGACCAGCCAGTGGGGCTGAGGTAGTAACAGAGATATCTCCCTGCATCATGCTCTGTCATGTGTGGGATGGAGAACTTGGCTCTGTCCCTGGGTTCCAATGGCTTGTGTATTTGCTTTGATGCTGGGTTTTCCAATTTATCCAGACGGTACTTCTCAGCCCCTGGGGTTCCTTGACAACAGATGGTCACAGGGTTCCCCCAAGTGATCACAGGGCCTGGTTCAGCCCAGAGAGTGGGCTTGGGGAGAGGCTCTGGAAGGAAATCAGGGGCTTGATCAAAAGACATTCCCACCCTCAGTTCCCAGCTCTCAGCCCCGAACATTTGAGATGTCCATCATCCATCAGCCTGGAACTGCTGTTCACCACCCAAATTTCCCAGGGGGTGGCCCTTATCCCCAGAGAGGAGTGGGACTTGGGACACCTGGGGAGACTCACCTGCCTGCACTGGTGTCCTGAGGCCCACACTCAGCCCTGGAAGAGAGTCCCTGTGAGAGATTTGCCCTGAACCCTGAGCAGCTCACTCCTCCCCATGAGCCTCCTGAGTCAAGGGGTCCTGACAGAGCAGGGCTCCTCTCCCGGTCCCATCTCACCGAGGCAGAGCAGGGCCCTGAGCATGCGGGTCATGGTGTCTTCCCAATCTGGTCCTGAGTGTGCAGATGGAGCCCATGGTGCTTTCAATACAGGCGCACAGGGTGGGGCCACCGGGAGGCTGGCCCTGCTGGTCTCGTGTTTGTCACAGTGGCCACGTCAACAGCCCCAAGTAAGGGGAACAAGGTCTTCCTGGCAGCCTGGCTGTGGTTTCCATGACCAACCAGGAAGCAGACCAGAAGCCTTCTGAGCCACCCCTTGTAGGTGAGGTGGCCTAAGGCACTTCCTTTCCTGTCAGAGCCTCCCCCACAGGGTCTCCTTCCTCCTGAGCCCATCCATCAGTACCTCCCCGGGGTCCTTACCATTGACAATGCCACCGGGGCCCTAGAGACTCTTAGGAAGACGTGGGTGCCTGTGGCTGCAGAGCTCAGATCACCAGGGACACGCTCACCCTCTCCCTGTGCTGCTCAGGGCGATGTCACAGTGACAGTGAGCACAGAGGGGAATAAGAAAGGAAATCTGATTCTTCTCCTGAGTCCACTTATTTTTTTTTTTTTTTTTTGTGGGTGAACATTGGAATGGCCTTGTTTGTTTTTGCAACAGCACCTACCCGCCTTCCTGGGGAACAAGCCTGACTCATTGCTGCTCCTCATGCCTCGGACAACATTCTCTTCCTCGTTCTGGGGTCCTGCATGTAACTTTTAGGGGCTTTTTTGATAGGTTAGAGGTGTATTTTTTAAAGAAATAGATGGCCTTTACGTCTGATACACGAAGATTTGTGCAAGAATGGGCCCCCTTTGCTCTGGCCAGAGCTGCCTTTCCACCTTCCCACGCTGCCCAGAGGCCCAGAGTGGCTGGGGTGGTTGGGAATGCCTAACCATCACCTTGGTGAGGACACAAGCATCCCGCCCCGCCACTCAGTGCCATATTTGTTGGTTGGTGGGCATGGCGAAGGTATGGCCAATTAGCATGTTACCTTTTATTAGTGCAGATTCACCTCCAATCCCATGTCCTGGACAATAGCATTTTATCTATAGGTGCCCCTCCCCCCAAATGTATACATACACTTAGGATAATTATAAAGGCCACATTTATTAAAACTCCTGCTTTCGTTTTCAGGATTGAGCCATCCGCTGTTACAGTGTGAGTGCTTTTAAGAGAGACCTTGTTTGTGTCCTTGTTGGGGTGAGAGGGGTGGCAGGTGGCCTGGTTCCTGTTTTGTGGGAAGAAACCAGTCCCTGTTCACGTTCAGGCCAGGTGACGATGTCAGAGGGCTGCGGTGTCAGGCCCAGTGGTAAAGACAAATGCTCGTCTCAGCCATGCCAGCGCCCTTGTCTGCTTAGCAGACCAATAAATGCTACTGATAAAGTTGTTTTTTAAAAAATATGTTTTTATTGATTTTAAAGAGGAAGGGAGAGGGGGAGAGAAAAACATTCATGATGAGAGAGAATCATGGATTGGCTGCCTCCTGCAGGCCCCACACTGGGGAATGGCCCAAAACTCAGGCATGTGCCCTGACCAGGAATTGAACCATGACCTCCTGGCTGATAGGTCAATGCTCAACCACTGAGCTACGCTGGCCGGCCAATGATAATATTTCTGAAATGCAGGCTGTCTCCCCAAAATGCATACACACTGTACCATCTGTTAGCTTTTTTTTGAAAATGAAATATATTTCAGCCCTAGCCAGTTTGGCTCAGTGGAGAGAGCATGAGCATTGGCTGGCAGATGGAAGGGCCCCATGTTTGATTTTTGTCAAGGGCAAATGCCCTTGTTGGGGGCATCCAGAAGGCAGCTGATCAATGATTCTCTGTCATCATGGATGTTTCTCTCTCTCTGGCCCTCTCCCTTCCTCTCTGAAATCAATGAAAAGTATTTCTTAAAAATGTATTGTAATGAACTCTGCCCTGATATGACTCACAGTGTGTGGATACACAACTGGGGCCATCCTCCACGTAGACATAGTCCTTTGCAGGAAAAGAGAAATGAACGTTCCCCAAGCAGACTGGAAACCACAAGAAAGAACAGACAGGACAGCAATGCCAAGCGGCACTGGTGCCCAGGACCAGCAGGGGGCATTGCCAGAGGTTCCCACTCATGTGGCCATGGAGAGGGGCCCCTGGTTCTCACAGGGAGGGAGGGTTGGAGCTTTGGGGCAGATTGGCAGCTATGGGGTCCCCCACCTTGTGTTTGTGGAAAGGCTTTGGGCCAGCTCTGCTCACTGACACCCTCTCATGGTCAGCCCTGAGTCACGTGTGTGTGGGTGTGTGTGTATGTGTGTGTGTGTGTGTGTGTGTGTGTGTAAGAGAGAAACAGACTGATTGCCATTTTTGTGAGAAACGAGTGTGTGTCACACAGGGAAGCAGGAGGCCAGAGCGCCCCATCCTCGCCTTGCCCTGCCCGAGCAGATGCTAGGTCTGAAAGGGTGGGTACCAAGGAGCCAGGGAGGCCACAATGATCCCCAACTACACACTGTCAGCCTGACTCCCAAGTGAGTCCCAGAAGGTCTGGGAAGAAAGAGCCTTCCAACAAGAATGGATGCCCTGCCCTAACCGGTTAGGCTGAGTGAACAGAGTGTCAGCCTCTGGACTGAAGGATCCCAGGTTCCCCTCCAAGCAAGAGCATTTACCTTGGTTGCAGGCACATCCCCAATAAGGAGTGTGCAGGAGGCAGCTGATCAATGTTTCTCTCTCATTGATGTTTCTAAGTCCCTCCCCCTCTCCCTTCCTCTCTGTAAAAAAAAAATCAATAAAATATATTTAAAAAAAATAAAAAAGAATGGATGTCATGTGAAGTAAGCCAGTTAGAGGAAGACAAGTGTCATGTGATCACACCTCCATGAGGGATCTCATGAGCAAAATAAACAAACAGACAAACTTGGTCCAGAGACATGGAAGCATGGGACAGGCTCACAGATGTCAGGGGAAAGAGATTAACCCACGGACTTACATCCACATATGCATAATCCATGGACACAGACAACTGCAGTGAAGGCCCAGGCTGGGGGGGTGGTGGTGGAGACATGTGTTGGGTGGAGGGGGGTCAATGGGGAGAAAAGAAACACATCTGTAATACTTTCAACAATAAAGCAAAATTTAAAAAAATTAATTCTCACCTGAGGATATTTTTTCCATTGATCTCTAGAGTGGAAGGGAGGGAGGGTGGGTAGAGAGATCTGGGAGGGAGTGTGTGTGTGGCGGGGAGCATGAGTAAGAGAGACAAGTCCATGTGGGAAAGACACATTGATCGGTTGCCTCCCGCACTTGGTTGTCTCCTGACCGAGCCCTGACCGACCGGGTCTGGGGATCAAACTAACAACCCAGATTCATGCCCTTGATCAGGAATCAAAACCGAGGGCCTTCGGTCCACAGGCCGATGCTCTACTTACTGAACAACATCAGCTAGGGCTGTGGTCGGCAAACTCATTAGTCAACAGAGCCAAATATCCACAGGACAACGATTGAAATTTCTTTGGAGAGCCAAATTCTTAAAGTTGAACATCTTCTAAGGCCGCTTCTACAACATAGACTTGCCCAGGCCATGGTATTTTGTAGAAGAGCCGCCCTCAAGGGTCCAAAAAGCCACATGTGGCTTGTGAGTCGCAGTTTGCAGACCGCCGAGCTAGGGCATCATTGACGTGTCTATCTCTCTCCGCCTCCCTTTCTCTCTCTGAAGTCAATATAAACATATAAAAATATTTTTTTAAAGAGGAAAGATAAGAAAACGTTATGTGTGTGTTCACTTATTTCCACCTGTTCCTCTTTCATGGTGAAAACCAGAAACCGACAGAAGCAGTCACCTCCGATGTGTGGGGGGACAGGGTGAAGAGGACAGAAGGGATCATCCAATCGGAACGTGCCATCCTATGCCGCTGTCACTTCTGAAACCTAAAAATAGTTTACATAGACCAGCCACATCATAGACCCAGCGATTTCGTGGGAAAAACACACACTGACATGACTATGAACAAGACATGGGGGGGGGGGCGAGGGGGGAAGAAAGATAAAATAAAAGAGAAGAAAAGAAGAAGGACTTATAGGAATTAGATAAGAGTTGGCTTTTCACAGGAGAAGTGCAGGTACAACATAAATGACCCTGTGATGGCGCACCGGGTGGGAACTCCCAGATACTAAGTGGTCCCCATGGAAGGAAAGCCCGGTAGCCCTGGCCTTCCTTCCTAAATATAATTCCCACTAAAAGGAACCCAAGAAGTAGGTGACAAGGTGGCCTCCTGGTCCAGGGCAGGAGGGGGAGAGAGAGAGAGAGGGAGAGAGAGGGAGAGAGAGAGAGAGAGAGGAGAGAGAGAGAGAGAGAGAGAGAGAGAGAGAGAGAGAGAGAGAGAGAGAGAGAGAGAGAGAGAGATTGGTTGCCTCCCACATGCACCCCAAATCGGAGATGGAGCCTGCAACTCAGGAACCTGCCCTGGATGGACTGAGGGTGTGAGGGTAGGTGCAGAGGGAGGGACCCTGATTGGGGACTTATAACCTGATAAACAGAGAGACTGGATTCATCTGTAAAGTAATCCCGGTGTTTTAAATCTTAGAACACATATACTCATGTGGAGAGGGGGTTCCGTTTCTCTTGAGTTTCCTTCCCAAGGCCTGTGCTAAATGATGCGGGAGGTGACTCAGCGGTGAATCCAGCCAGCAGACCTGATAAGCAGGGTCCGGCCAGCCCACCCCACCAGGAGTCCACACATCATCTCATCCGCGTTATCTCATCAGCATCGTCTCATCAGCATCATCTCCTCGCCTGGGGACCAAGGACAGTAGCTGAGGTCTGTGTACCCCCAGGGCTGCATGTAGCTAGATTCGGTTCCCAGCCCCAGCCCTTTCCCCTCTAGAACCCTCCCCATGTGCCTGGCTGGAAGGCAGGACTTGAAGCTGTAAGCGCCCAGTCTTCTTGGCTGGCTGGCCTCCTCAGTAAACATCTGTATCAGTCAACCCTGCCTTCCGGATTGGACACAGCTGCAGGCGGCCTGAGCCAAACCGGGGGGGGGGGGGGGGGGGGGGGGGGGGGGGGGGGGGTGTTCCTGGTAACAGGTAACAGCCCTTCAGTGCACAGGCCGGCGCTCTGACCACAGAGCCACAGGGGCCAGGGCCGCCTGGTCTCCCTTTTCCTCTAGAAGCTTCATGAGGCACTGCCAGTCAGTGGGGACATCTCAGTGGGCGCAGCGGGAAGCTGAAAGGACTTCCTGTGGCCAAGCTTGGGGAGCTGTGCACCAGAACTTAAGGGGGGGGGGGCGGGGGCGAGGGAGGCGCTCCGGCCCCCCTGAGCTCCGGGCAGGATGCTGGCACCGCGCAG